ATTCCTTGCAGACAGCTGGTCATTTGCATCCTTTTAAAGCAGTGTTTCTCAACCTTGGCCACTTGAAGTCCTGTGGACTTCAACTCCCAGAATTCCCCAGCCAGCGAATGCTGGCTGGGGAATTCTGGGAGTTGAAGTCCGGACATCTTCAAGTTGCCAAGGTTGAGAAACACTGCTCTAGCCTTTTAAGAAGGAGCCGTGAGCTACTTCCCAAGGCTGGACATCTGGAAAGGGGGAGAGATAGGAAGAGCTTAAACGACCTGTGGGCTGAGCAGTGCCCCCGAAAATGGAAAATTGGAAAAAAAAAAAAACCATTTACCTCTTCATCTTCACCTTTTGCAATGTAGGAAGTGAAGCCTCCCGATTCGACGTCCCAATCTTAAAAGGAATGAACATCGCGTTTTAAATTTTAAAGCGAGCAGCCGCAAAACAAATCCACTTGCCCAAACACAACGGTAAGGTGGATTGATTTTGGTGGATTTATGTGCCGCTCATCTCTAGAGGCTAGGGGAGACTGGGTGGCTGAGCAACCATTGGCACTAAGAAGATTTTAAAATTTGTTTTTAGAGGAAGGTTGGCCAACTCAACTGAAAAGATCTAGTGATGGCTTTGGACTGTGGAGAGAGGTGTATACAACATCTGCAAGGATGAAAATGCAAGCAGTTTCCAGGGATGTTTATGGAGATTCTCAAGTCATCCAGGTCATGATTGCCCCAAAGGTGCCTTTTTTTCAAGAGGACTTTCTTGTTTTTTTTGTTTTGAAGATGTTTCGCTTCTCATCCAAGAAGCTTTAAGCGAAACGTCTTAAAAAAAACCAACCAGAAAGTCCAGTTGCCTCTTGAAAAAAAAAAGCACCCTTGGGACAGTTTCCAGGCAGATATTATATTTTGTCATTTAGGCATAAATGATTTTCCCCTTCTGGGGCTAACTCTGGATTATCTTCTTGCATTCATGGATAAAGCAAATGGCTCAAAACGAAGATGCTTCAAGCTTAACCAATGTTGGCTGATTTGGAAGATTGGTGAGTGGAAAACCTGTTGCTTGGGAGCGGCTGAGTTGAATCCCTTCCGTGGTTCTTCAACAAGGTGCTGCCTCTCCTCTTGGCCTTCCTTCCTTCCTTTGATGGAAGGAGGAGCAGAGAAAGCCCTCCCCGTGAACAGTTTTGGGCAAGCTTAAAAATGAAACCCACCTTCTCCCCCACAGAAGAGCAGCAGATCCAGGGCGAACTCTGCCCTTTCGGCATCGTGGATCAGTGTGTAGCACCCTTTCCTCCAGCGTCTCAGTTCTCCAGCGCAAAGTGGGACGCCTGAGGGGAGAAAAGAGCAGATGTTCTCGGCTTTCAGGAGGACCATGCCACATTTTGAAGAATAGGGTGAGGGAGGGCGGAAAAAAACCTCTGTTCTTAAGAGTCTATGGCAGTGTTTCTCAACCATGGCGTCTTTAAGTCCTGTGGACTTCAACTCCCAGAATCCCCCAGCCAGCTGTGCTGGCTGGGGGATTCTGGGAGTTGAAGTCCACAGGACTTAAAAGTTGCCATGGTTGACAAACACTGGACTTGGGGGATTCTCAGTCATCCAGGTCATGGTTGCCCCAAAGGTGCTTTTTTTCAGGAGGCAACTGGACTTTTTTCTTCAAAGACGTTTCGCTTCTCATCCAAGAAGCTTCTTTAGCTCTGACTGGGTGGTGGGGAATGGAAGGATTGATGCTCCTTGCAGACAGCTGGTCATTTGCATCCCTTTAAGAGCGTCCTTGAGGCCGCTTGGGAGGTTTTTCTGTGTCCTCAGGGTCACCTGAGTGGTGCAAATGGGTGTGGAGCCTTCTTGGCTGGGTGTTTTCTGCCCTGTGTCCCTTCCCTGTTGACGAGCGCAGGATGATGGGTATGAATCTGTGTTGTCTGCATCTCAAACTGAAGTGCAAGAGGTTCTTGTAGTAGTCTACATTTTTCCCCCTCTGGAAATCTGTTCATGCATCATTCAAAAGAGGGGACAGGGCAGAAAATATCCTACAAGAAGGCTTCACACACATCTGCACTACGCAGGTGACCCTGAGGACACAGGCAAACCTCCAAATGCTTCAACGACCCTCTAAAAGGATGCAAATGACCAGCTGCTTGCAAGGAATATAAATTCTTCCATTCCCCAACCATCCAGTCAGAGCTGAAGAAGCTTCTTGGATGAGAAGCGAAACGTCTTCAAAGAAAAAAGTCAGAAAGCCCAGTTGCCTCCCGAAAAAAGACCTTTGGGTCACCCTGTTCTTAGATTTCCCCAGAGTAAGTTCTGAACCTCTGAAGTTTCACATCGCTGGGATGGGCTCAACAACCTCCATTCAGGCCGATACTGAAGCCAACGATTTTTCAATATGGACAGGAAGGAGGTCACCATTAGACAAGAACCTCCTTAATGGGGCATCTCAGCTGTTAAGAGACTCCCTGAAGAAAAGGCTATGGAGATGTAGGAAGAGCTGGTGCCCAGTGGTGGGATTCAAATTTTTTTTACTACCGGTTTTGTGGATGTGGCTTGGTAAGCGTGGCAGGGGAAGGTTACTACAAAATCTGTATTCCCTCCCCACTCCAGGGTAAGGATACTGCAAAATTTCCATTCCCTCTCCACTCCAGAGGAAGGATTCTGCAAAATCCCCATTCCCTCCCCACTCCAGGGGAAGGATACTGCAAAATTTCCATTCCCTCTCCACTCCAGGGGAAGGATACTGCAAAATTTCCATTCCCACCCCACTCCAGGGGAAGGATACTGCAAAATTTCCATTCTCTCCCCACTCCAGGGGAAGGATACTGCAAAATTTCCATTCCCA